AGATGTGAAATGATCTAATCAGCCCTGTATACGCTTTAATGTCTCAGGTAAACAGCAATCGTGGGTTTTCAAGTTCAAGTTTTTTATTTACCAAATGCAATACAGCATATATGTTTTACAGTTACATCACACATGGTTCATAATAAAGTACAATATACAAGATGGCGGAGAAGAATTCATGATTCACATTTAACATATAGATTTTTACTGACCCACAAGGGCTTTTCTTTTGGCAGTTTCATGCAATAAATATTTACCAAGTTTTCTTAAAGTTTTGACATTTTTACATGAAATCAATTTATAGACACTAGGATGTCGATAATAATATTGTTTTAAATATGTATTTCTTAACTCAGAATAAGCTGGACAAAAAATGCATCTCATCTTCGACATCATTTTTGTTACAGACAGTACATATTCTTTGGCCTCTTGGGACAGCATTGTAACGTCCTGACTCCATATTAAGACAGTTTGCTTGCATGCGATATTTACTCAATGATTGTTTGATACTAGAAATTAAGGGCTTTGTTAAGTAAAATTGAATTTGAAAATTATCAACAAGATGTTTATATAAGTCACATTTTGAAGATTTATCAAATGCACTACGTAATTCTTGAATGAATATATTATGCAAGCGTTGAGAATACAATTCCAAAAACTACCTTTCATTTTGTACATTTTGAGCAATCCAAATATGGTTAAAACCATTTCTACATAAATCATTTTGAACTTGATAAATCCAGTTTAATTTAGAATTTGGCTTTCTGATATGTAACTCAAATAAAGCATCATTATATGATTTTAAAACACAATTGTTAGTTTTTATCAATTCTAACCAATGTTTTATGATTATAATTTTACGCTGTACATGTAATGGATATCTGCCCGTTTCAAAATACATCATAGAACTATTAACGGTTTTCTTTACATTCAATACTTCTTTCAGAAAAAGAAGGTGAACATTTTCAATTTTTGGTGCTGGATAATGACCCCACACCTCACAACCATAATTAAGTATACATGTTACATAAGTGTCAAATAGTGATATCTTAGTTTCAGTATTTAGCATCTTATCCTTTATTCTATTCTTGAAAAGATAATAAGCTTTCCTTCCTTGAAATGCTAAAGTATTCAGAGCAACTGTAAACCTTCCGTTATAATTAAAGACTAATCCTAAATAACAAAACTGATCTACGACCTCTATGGTCCTTTCATTAAATTTCCAACTTTCATTAGGTAATATCCGTTTGCTTTTTCTAAAAATAACTATTTTGGTTCTTTCACTGTTAACTGTTAAGCTCCATTTTTCAGTAAAATCTTGCAAACAATCTAACATATTTTGAAGATCATTAATATCTTCTGAAAATAAAACTGTGTCATCAGCATACATTATAAGAAATAAATTTAATAGTTGTAATTGATAACTCTGGCAATTAGAATTAATAAGAACGCTCTCCATATCACTGACAAATAAAGAAAACAGCATGGGAGATAAAGCCTCCCCTTGTAAATGTCCTACATGTATATCGAACATATGTACACGATATTTAACATTAGCATAACTATCATATGTACACGATATTTCACACTAGCATAACAATCAGATGTACACGAGATTTCACACTAGCATAACAATCATATGTACACGAGATTTCACACTAGCATAACTATCATATGTACACGAGATTTCACACTAGCATAGCTATCATATGTACACGAGATTTCACACTAGCATAACTATCAAATGTACACGAGATTTTACACTAGCATAACTATCATATGTACACGAGATTTCACACTAGCATAACTATCATATGTACACGAGATCCCACACTAGCATAACTATCATATGTACACGAGATTTCACACTAGCATAACAATCACATGTACACGAGATTTCACACTACCATAACTATCATATGTACACGAGATTTCACACTAGCATAACTATCATATGTACACGAGATTTCACACTGGCATAACTATCATATTTACACGATAGTTCACACTAGCATAACTATCATATGTACACGATATTTCACACTAGCATAACTATCAAATGTACACGAGATTTACCTAGAAGATGTTAATGATGACTGCCATACGTGAATCAATTTCAATGAACAGCGGTAATGGCGCTGACTGGTAATGTCATTCAGCAGATTTATTTATGTTGTTTCTTCAGCCAAAACAAACATAATCACAACTGTTCTATTATAATTCAGTATACATACTAAAACTACTCCTAGTAATGTTTCTGCTGCCAAAATCAGTAGTTCTTCTTACCGATCTACTTATCTTAGCTACTAATGCCTCCACTGCTAAATTAGGAAATGTTCTTTCATCAATCAACATAGCAACCTATGTTTCTATCTCTTAAAAAAGCGTTTGTGCTTTTGCTTCTTCTGCCAACTTCAGCAAATCTTATACTTATGTATCTACCATTAAATTCGGGATAAACACTTACAGTACTACTGTCAGAATCAGTGTACAGTACTACTGTCAGAATCAGTGTGCAGTAGTACTGTCAGAATCAGTGTACAGTACTACTGTCAGAATCAGTGTACAGTACTACTGTCAAAATCAGTGTACAGTACTACTGTCAGAATCAGTATACAGTAGTACTATCAGAATCAGTGTACAGTACTACTGTCAGAATCAGTGTACAGTACTACTGTCAGAATCAGTGTACAGTACTACTGTCAGAATCAGTGTACAGTAGTACTGACAGAATCAGTGTACAGTGTTTCATACAATTGTAATGCCTACCTAAAATTTGTTCCGGATTAATACAGTGCCTCTGAGTAATTTAGATAGATAAGTGTTGACATATTTCACATTGAATGAAATCTACAGATATTTAAATTTAGATAAATGTATTATTTTGGTAGTTTTTAAAATGTGATTGCGGATTAATATGGGGTCAAAAGGCATGGGTGTTCCATCCCACTCCACCGGTTGGGCTTGTTAACTTCCGGTTTTCAAAAGCAGACGCCTGTAGCGCTCGTATATGCCACTAAACCTGCCAAAATATGCCCTTTGAAGCCTTTGTCAGGTATATATCTATGAATCTAAACAGTTGTCACTAGTGTTGAACTAGCTTTAAGCTAAAAATCTTAGTAATAACATATATTAAATGATTTAGTTGTGCGAGTCCTTAAAGCTACCACTTGTGCACCTTACCAATCCGCATTGCTACCAATAAACATTATACCAAAACAGCGTAGCCACTATTATATATTTAGCCACTAATGTACAATTACGGATTCCTGTTCAACTGCATGCAAGCCACATGAGAATCCACTATGGGTTCGTATATACAGTAATCCCTCCTTAACTTTCGTTTTGATGTAACTGTAGAGCACAGTTGGACCAAAGCACGTCCGATGATCAGGAACATGTAGCTCAGTTAGTAAGAGCGCAATTCCGGGTTCGAATCCTGGTCATGCCACGCTGATTTGTACATTAGGAATGTTGTTTTTGTTAGTAGGAATTTGTTTATTGTATCTATTTTTATCACTTTCATAAGATTCATGAAATAGTCAGGTTTCCATTTTTTATTTTTTTTTTTTAATTTTCATGTTTTAACAATTTTTAGCTGTAGTTAGTGGATCTTGAAGCTCTGACTCAACATTAGCATGCCTAAGGTGTGTACTGCCAGAAAGACCAGAATATGTAGAGAGCGGTCCCACACAGTAGTATCACCACCAGACCTATAGTTAACACTGCACGTGCCCGGGGGTCCTGTTTTAACTCCGACACTTTCTCCATGTGCAGTTGCATGGCGCGTTCCTTTTCTTCGTCAACTCCTTTCCCGCCAAATCCACATACAAGTTGTACCAATTGTTCTTTGCATGAAGTCTTTCCTTCTAGTTCTGAAAAACAGATAAACCAAGATAATTGTAGTGTATCTACGAAAAGAAAACAAGTCTGACATACTGGTGTTTGGCGTGAAAGGATCTGTAACTAAATCATCAAAAGTTCACGAGCTATTTATTTTTGCAGTTTTTAAGTTTTACCTAAGTTTTGCGAGGAACATATAGCGAATTTTCCTTTAGCGAATTTAAATTATCGTGATATGTGGACTTATGAAGAACATTCTCCAAAACTAGTATTCAAAAAGATGATGGATTTTCAATAGGTGTTTGAGATATGAAACAAGTTCAGATTATCAAATATATTGCGGCGGAAATCCTTTCTTTCGATGACTTTTATTGTCAAGACATCTATTGAAAGTTCTATTGTACATAATATTGTTTAACCTAATTCATAGATGAATCTGAATTAAAACGAAAGCAAACAATGTAAAACACATGTTTTTATCACAGTGAGTAGACACCGGAGCCTATTTGAAATAACAGAAATAGTACATTTCAACTGGTGGCAGTGACCTACTTTTGACGACATCAATTATCTGAAGTTTGAGCATATAGTTTGGACAGCATATCACATTATAGAATTTAGAGTTAATGATATTAAACTCCTTTGAGCATTACATCGAGTTCAGTGGTCAATTGGCGAGAAAAATGCGTCCATGCAGCTGTGCAGTTTCTTAAAAAACATGCCAACTTAAAATGTATGCCAGATAGAATAATACAAAGAGCTATTACACTTAAATGTGATTTTTTTTCAATTAGAAATTGGTCCGTTTTTGGGTCGCGCTGTTAGAATAAGCAGTTACTTCATAGTCAAACTTTGGTAAAAAAATCCAAAAGGTTTCCGATTGACTGAAATGGTAACAACAAAAAACGCAACCTTGTTCACGCAAAATTAACTGTTCCAACGTTTGTTAAATAAAGTTTGTTTAAGATTATCTTAAACTTAAAGAAATTATTTTTAACAATACATAAACAATTCTTTGTTGTTTTGAACGTAAGATTTTAAGAAATACATTTTAGTTTAAACAAAAAACAGGCAACACTTAATGAATATTTAATAATTTCTGATAAAAATGAAATGATTTTTGCATGAAAACACATCATTGCGTTGTAATTTCATCGCCAAGAAACTTACACCAATCAGAAGTTAGAATAACAATTACCGCGGCGCATGTACCGTCATCTCTTTTTGTGTTGTTTATTTCTTAGGTTATGTGATATAACCTGGAAAGTCTCGCGTTGGGGGAATAGCCAAAATCAAATTATGAGAATTTGAATGAATCGTTTAAGTAATGGTTGTCAGATGGCGCAGCGGATAACGCACTCGCTTTCACCAAGGCGGCCGGGGTTCGATTCCCCTATTGGACGTGAAAAGGTAAAGGGTCACCTGCCCGACAACGTGGCTTTTCTTAGTACTCCGGTATCCTCTCACATTAAGACCCCCACGCTTACAACCGGGCCGACAAGAGCGAATAATATAAGGCATAATAACGTGTTTCATAGCTTGTGTATTGTTTCAAAATTGTTGTAAAATAAATTAAGTTTATGTTATTATGTAACTATGGTGGTATATGGTGGTAACACAGCTTCGTTCAAACATTTCACCAAGATGCATTGAATTAAATACATATTAAATACCTGGTGGAGGTCGCCCTTTGTCCAATCCTGGGTCCCGGAAAACTTTCCTGGTTTCCGTTGCGTCTTTGACCCTTTTGACCCCTAATGTCATCTGGAAAGGGACTTGGAGAGCGATGTCTTCTGTACTTAGTGCGGGGTTGTCGTATCCCTTCCGACTTTGGCCCGACTCGGAATCCTTGGGGAGAGCTTTCTGGAACCGTGTCCAAAAAGTGGTTCGATGAATCTGTGTTAATAAAAAGAAAATGAAATAATATCATAAACTTCCAATCAAGGATTTGACCGGAATTTAGAAAAAAGAATAAAAAAGTGAAGTTTTGGTTTGTTGGTTTCTCCTTTTGCAGTCTTGGTTTTAACTTTGTTTTATTCAAATTTTGTTTGACAATACATCGAAATACATGTTTTATAAAACAGAAAAGGAAACAAAAACAAGTGTCGTGACGCTTATGTAAATTTGTTACCTGTTACCTGTTTTGCAGTCTTATATGTATGATCATACGAAATTATGTTCTTCAAGTCGTTTAAATTTCTTGCAAGATAATTAGAATGTGTAACGATTGTTTTATAATCTCGGCAGAGGAAAACGAAATAAACAATATGAAAAATAGAAGTAGGGTGGTTGGATGGCGAAGTGGATAACGCACTCGTCTTTCAACAAGACGGCCGGGGTTCGATTCCCCGACCGGACGTGAAAAGGTATGTGGGTCACCAGCCTGACCACGTGAATTTTTCTCGCGGTACTCCGGTTTCTCCCACCATTAGCCTCCCCTTACCCGCGCTAACAACCGGACCAACAGGAGTGATTAGTATAATTAAAATAAATAAAGTTTCTAATTTTGCTATAATATAAGATCATATATACGCTATAATGCAATACAGTTGATAGAGTGACAAAATGTATTTTTTTTTTATAATATAATGCTTACTGAAGGCTCAAGTGAATCGTTTAAAAAATAAATTGTTATTATTTAAACATTTTTAATTTAATTCGCGAAGAGCATTAAATACTTCTAGAAAATAATAGTGATATTTTTTTTGGAAGATTATCTCCGAAAATCAGCGGTAGCATATCGTTAATTCAATCAACTTACATATTTTGGGTCCGGTTTGCCGGTTAAAAGGCTGATGATGATTGCTAGGGCTGCAGTCATGAGTGTGATGAAGAGGGAGAAATACATATAGTGGAAGTTCTTAATGATGTCTGGGCGAGGATCGGGGTGGAGACAGTCCCCACTGTCGTAATACACGAACACCAACACCATCCGGGTGATCCCGGCAATCAGCGCCACCATTAGCGACCAGAACGCCCCCTGTCAGGAAACACATCAAAACATGTACTTTTTGAACAACAGATAAGCTAAATGTTCAGAACAAGAATTTAAACGTTCGATAAGTATGGATTTTGAATTATTTTATCATGACGTCATGTGGTATTCATGACATCACAATACACTTTCTGCCTATGACAAATCGAAATGAGCACAAACTCTTAAAACATATCTTCCATGTGCCAATGTTTTGATTTTTAAAGTTTATAGTCCATTTTTGCATAAGCATCCATAACCAAAATGGAAATGCTTCATGAAAATTCGATGAATTTTTTTTCACGATTAATAAAAGTTTGTTTATTTAGGATTTACGGTATCATTACGAAAATATACACTCACGAAACTATCAACAATCTCTGATCAATATATTGCAGCCGCATTGTCATTAAAGCAGAGAACGGGATTTGAAGAATCAATTAAAATCAGAAACATATATAACGGCCATTAACAGACTTGAATAACATTGCCATCAACGCTACCTTTATTCTAATACAGGCGATTGTCTTCTTCATTTGATTATCTATATATTATCTACCATTATATAATTGTTGATTTGGAGAAAAATGTTACATTTTCATCTGCATGTATTATAAATGATTTTTTTGAGTTTTGAAAAAAGAAGAAAAATAATAAATAAATAAAAAATATAAAATAAATAAATAGTTAATTAAAAATTAAAATAAATAAATAAAAAAATTAAACTTGATATATAAAATAATAAAATCGGTAACTGGAGGATACCCAGTAGTGAGGTCAGGGTTTCTGAGTGTTTACCTTCTCGTTGACCTGGGGAACCAATACCGCCAGGAGGAAGACAGCGGCGAAGGGCGGGGCCAGATAGTTAGTGATTTCCTGTATGTATATAAATACTTGGCCCCCTTGGGTCTCTTTTAGGATGGGTACCCAGGCAATGCTGACGCCGATCATTACCAGGATAAAAACCCTACAACAGGTAACTGTATATCAGATATGTCACTACTGCAGAGGCGGATCCAGAGACTGAACGAGGGGGAGGGGTTATGAAGGTTGGGAGTTGAACACTGTCTGGATGGGTTTCCAAATAAAAAAAGTGCAAAGACATTATTTTCGAAAGAATCTGAAAGAATATGAAAATTTTGAATTCCTGGAATCACCTGAATCCGTCACTGCTAATGATGACGTTAAAAAACGTAGCCATAGTGTGTTGAATAATACACATCACAATAGAGATATAAGGTTTTTTTGTTAACCGAGCCCTTATACACATAGCCAATTTGCCTACAACAATGCCCTTAGTATGTTATAAGTCAAGCTTATGAGTATAAACTAGCCACATCCACGCCCCTTGTTTGTAATAGACACGCCCGATCCATACATTCAAACCTGCCTATTAACACGCAACTTGTTTGCTGTATAGACCGCTCCCATAAACATACAAACCTGCCTTAATCTGCATCATTTTTGTTTGCTTTAACTGCGCCCCGACCCATATAAGTAAACCTGTCTGCAACCATGCCCCTTTGATATAAGTCACACCTACACATACAATTGTACAAACATGCCTGTAATAACGTCCCTTGTCTGTTTATACGCGACACATCTGTCTTTATAAGCAACGCCCGTGTCTGTTATAAACCCCGTCCCTTGCCTGTTATAAGCAACGCCCGTGTCTGTTTATAAGCAACGCCCGTGTCTGTTATAAACCCCGTCCCTTGCCTGTTTATAAGCAACGCCCGTGTCTGTTTATAAGCAACGCCCGTGTCTGTTATAAGCCACGCCCTTTGTCTGTTGTTTGCCCCTTACATACAAACCTGCCCACGATGAGAAGTTCCTTTACGGAAGCAGTTTTTCGGATCCTCTTATAAATATCGATGGTGAAGAGAGTGCTCGCGCTGTTAAAAATGGAGTCAAGGTCACTCATGAGGGCCGCTATCATCACCGCCATCATCAGTCCCCTCAAACCTACAACACATAGATTCGGTATCATTCGTTACGGGTGAGGCAATAGACTGCAATTTGCATGGCCTTATACACTTCTGTTCCGTCAATGAGAATTTATTTTGTAAAGGATGCGCACACCCATGAACAAGTTAAGGAAGCTGTATAGTTATATTTATTCTTAACAAACCTTTATTAATATATTGATGTCGTAGAATGACAATCATCATGTGATAAAAATCATCGCTTTTCATTGACTACAAAAGCATTCACTCTGACGAAAAAGTCGTTGCAATATAACCATGCACTTTTACATTGCTTACGCTCATCACTAAGGCGCTCTCATCAGTCGACCAATTTGTGTCAAGTGTCCGTGTTTGAGTTATATTTGACAGTTTAAAGTCATGTAATGTACTAAAGCAATTATTAACTCCTTTTGCAGACAATACATAGTTTTATAAGATTGCCTATATGATCTTATGGTAACACGAAATAGATCAGGATAAAACGGTAACCTCTCGTTTGGCGCAGATAATATGTCACACCTCAACACAATATCAGACCATAACCTTCAGAACAAGGCATTGATATGAATAAATGAAGCCTGTTTTTATTGATATGAGGGCATGGTATGGGGGCTATATGTCTGATTGGAGTACACCTACCTTCCGGCATGATTCCTAGCACCAGCCTTGGGTAGGCGATGTTAGAACAGCCAGCGTAGCTCTGACACACCGTGTAACAGATGTCCTTGTCAACACACGCTACCTCGTCTGGGGAAAAATATTTAAAGATTATAACGACATTTCACATTTGAAACTTACACAGTTTCTTGTTCAATAATTTCTTTTAGAAAAGATTGAGAGATTATGAATTATTGGATGGAACCAAATCTTTAGGGTAGGGTTGTAAACGATTAGCCGGGTAACCGGTTACTCGGTCGAAGATTGACCATTTAGTGTCGTTTTCAGCAATTTTAAGTAAAGATTTACAAAGAGATAAAATTTAGAGAGTATGAAATCATGTGTTAAAGATTATCTAATAATCTTCGAGATTATCAAACTTTAGGAGTATAACATATTCGTTTAGAGATGCAGATATTACCCAATTATTGAAGCAGAAAATATTATATGTTCGTTAAAGATCTTGGTTCATTCTTAGAATATTTTTGTTAGATTTAGAGAATATTGAATTTTAAAGAGAATTAGACATTTGACAATTTTGGTTTCGAGAGTATCGTGCTTAAACCTCATCAGTATAAGTGTAGAGAGCAATAAATGTTCATGAAGAAGTAATTTATTGGGTTTAGAGAGTCCTAAATATTCACGAAGAGATATGATATCTTTGTTTAGAGAGTACTGAATATTCACGACGAAATACTTTATCTTGTTTAGAGAGTACTAAATAGTCACGACGAGATATTTTATCTTGGTTTAGAGAGTACTAAATAGTCACGACGAGATATTTGTTCTTGTTTAGAGAGTACTAAATAGTCACAACGAGATATTTCATCTTGGTTTAGAGAGTACTAGATAGTCACGACGAGATATTTTATCTTTGTTTACAGTGTACTAAATAGTCACGACGAGATATTTTATCTTGGTTTAGAGAGTACTAAATAGTCACGACGAGATATTTTATCTTGGTTTAGAGAGTACTAAATATTCATGAAGAGATATTTTATCTTGTTTAGAGAGTACTAAATAGTCACGACGAGATATTTTATCTTGGTTTAGCGAATAATAAATATTCAGGAAGAAATATTTTATCTTGGTTTAGAGAGTACTAAATATTCAATCTTACCTGCTGTTTATCGAGATTATATTTACCTGCATACAGAATTCGGCTAATCATTCCGGGCATGACCATCATGAAAAGGGGGAGAATCTTGATGAAACCGGCCATCAGGGTGGCGCCCTGTGCGTGAGAGATGCTCTTAGCGGCTAGCAATCTTTGTACGATCACCTGCAGACAAAGGTCAAGGTTATTAATCTAGCTTAAGTCATCACGTTGAAGTTAGGGTCAAATAATATGAACAGAAATTATTGTATTCTGCAATTATAGAGAACGAAAGGATATTCATGGTGTGGTGCTTTCTGTTATATGAACATACAAAACAATACACATACGACAAGCGTTGAATTAGAATAAATTAGATATTGGATTACAGATTTCATAAAACATTGTTCCAGAGAGCATCAATGCTAAATATATTTGGAACACTACTGAAACTCTCCGATTTGCTATAGATTTGACGGACGAAATTACATAAAGGAATGGAGGAATCAAGCATTATATGCAACCAAGATCTTTAATGTAATGCGTTACTAAAGAAACATCACTCAATCATATCATGTGAGAAGGGACATATCTCTGCCGCACCTGATCTGCACACCAGTACCAGATTGAGCCCGGTGTCTGGCCGAGAAGAAAACCTGGCCAGGGCATGTAATCGTCATCAGCCTCGCGCAACATTCGGAAGGCATTAGGGTCTGGTTCGTGACATGTAGCATTCGGAATTCGGAAGGTCTCGTTTGTCATTGATGTCTTGTAGCCCCTAACCATACCATCGTAGCCCCCAACCCTAGAGAACGCTGGGTCAATACAAAAACACAAATTTAAAATGAATTTGCGTTAAATAATAATGAAAGACATTTAATGGACAATATTCGAATATTCACTATGAATCAATAGAATCATGAGGAATGTAATTGTGATTTAGTTACAAGCGTCATTTACTCACGTACATGGATACCCCTACCAAAACGTATGGGTTCCTTTTAACCAGCGCCACCTATCAATGATGTCAGATACATATGTTACAGCGCCACCTACCGATGCCCATGAGCGTAAGGCCCCCGCCCACCATCAGTAAGGCCTGTAGAGTATCAGTGTATATCACGGCCGTTAGTCCGCCTGTCAAAAGCAAAGTCACTTTACAGTAAAACCTAGATAAAATGCCCTTCGTTCATATACAGTAAAACCTTGATAAAATGCCCTTCGTTCATATACAGTAAAACCTTGATAAAATGCCCTTCGTTCATATACAGTAAAACCTCGATATAATACCTGTCGTGTATATACATTGATCCACGTAAAACATCAATATAATGCCCTCGTTTATATACAGTAAAACCTCGATATAATACCTGTCGTTTTTATTTACAGTAAAACCTCGATATAATGTCCTTCGTTCATATACAGTAAAACCTCGATATAATGCCCTTTCTTTGTATATTCATTAAAACCTTCATACAATGCCAGTCGTTTATATACAGTAAAACCTCGATATAATGCCCGTCGTTTTTATATACAGTAAAACCTCGATGTAATGCCCCTCGTGTATATAAATTGATCCACGTAAAACATCAATATAATGCCCCTCGTTTATATACAGTAAAACCTGGATATAATGCCCTTCGTGCATATACAGTAAAACCTCGATATAATATCTGTCGTTTTTATATACAATAAAACCTCGATATAATGCCCATCGTTTGTATACAGTAAAACCTCGATATAATGCCCGTCGTTTATATACAGTAAAACCTCAATAATGCCCCTTCTTTGTATATTCATTAAAACCTTTATACAATGCCCGTCGTTTATATACAGTAAAACCTCAATATAATGCCCTTCCTGTATATATACATTAAAACCTCGATATAATGCCCGTCGTTTTATATACAATAAAACCTCGATATAATGCCCAATCTTTGTATATACAGTAAAACCTTGATACAATGCCCGTCGTTTATATCAAATAAAATCTTGATAGGATGCCCTTAGTTTATATACAGTAAAACCTCGATATATTGCCCCTCATTTATATACTGTAAATCCTTGATATCATGCCCATCGTGTGCATGTACAGAAAAACCTCGATAAAATGTCCCTCATTTGTAAAAAGTAAAACCTCGATAAAATGCTCCTCATTTATATACAGTAAAACCTCGATAACATGCCCCTCATATTTATATCAGTTAAAACCTCGATAAAATGCCCCTCATTTACATAAATTAAAACCTCGATTAAATGCCCCTCATTTATATCAGTAAATCCTTGATATAATGCCCCTCGTTTATATCAGTAAATCTTTGATATAATGCCCCTCGTTTATATCAGTAAATCCTCGATATAATGCCACTCGTTTATATCAGTAAATCTTTGATATAATGCCCCTCGTTTATATCAGTAAATCCTCGATATAATGCCACTCGTTTATTTTCATCATCGATATATTCATCTGACTTCCCTCAAAACCAACATATCTCCAAAGTCTCTTTATCTCTTTTCTTGGCCAATCCTTTCATATTCTCTGATGTTATGTCAAACCACTTTAATCAGAATTTCATTTGACATAACATTTGATTGATGGCAGTATACCGAAAATGAAATGTCAATATAAACGGCTCGATTACGTTAACTGACAGGTTTAATGTTAATTAAAGCTCCTGGGGACATCATGAACTATTTTCTTCAAGTTGGATAATGTTACAACCTTAAGAAATTCCATAAGGCAAAGTCTCAAGTTGATTTTCTACTCGTTATGTTCAATGATGATCTTTCACCATTTTCAAATGGTAATAACTTGTCAGTCTTTACCATACGAGGGTTTCTATGTTGAGTTCGCTGACGTCCTACGTTTTGCCTACAGTGTTTAAGTATTTGAAACCTTGACACTCTGCATGACGTCACGTTATCATAACAATATGAGAATTTTTTTTTACACGTGACTTTGACCTATATTTGATTTCTATAAATGACCTTAGACAAGAGTATGACGTGACACTATAACCTATGTTGCACAAAGTGTGACGGAACATTACCTGAACTATAAGTGTGACCTTGACCCTTTGATCAAATTTTTACCTGTCATGGTGAGGATCCCGGTGATGAGAACAAGGACGAAGATGCTGGTGTAAAGGTCCCATCTCAAAGACTGCTGGATAAACAGGGCGCCGGTAAACAAGTCTCCCTAGCAACGAAAATCAACAATGTCAGATAGGTATCCATAGCAACACAGATCAACAATGTCAGATAGGTATCCATAGCTACATATATCAACAATGTCAGATAGGTATCATAGCAACACAGATCAACAATGTCAGATAGGTATCCTTAGCAACACAGATCAACAATCTCAGATAGGTATCATACAAACACGGATCAACAATGTCAGATAGGTATCCTTAGCAACACAGATCAACAATGTCAGATAGGTATCATACAAACACGGATCAACAATGTCAGATAGGTATCATCCAAACACAGATCAACAATGTCAGATAAGTATCATAGCAACACGGATCAACAATGTCAGATAGGTATCCATAGCAACACAGATCAACAATGTCAGATAGGTATCCATAGCTACATATATCAACAATGTCAGATAGGAATCATAGCAACACAGATCAACAATGTCAGATAGGTATCATCCAAACACAGATCAACAATGTCACATAAGTATCATAGCAACACGGATCAACAATGTCAGATAGGTATCATAGTAACACAGATCTACAATGTCAGATAGGTATCATACAAACACAGATCAACAATGTCAGATACGTACCATAGTAACACAGATCAACAATTTCAGATAGTTATCCATAGCAACACAGATCAACAATGTCAGATAGGTATCCATAGCTACATATATCAACAATGTCAGATAGGTATCATAGCAACACAGATCAACAATGTCAGATAGGTATTATAGTAACACAGATCAACAATGTCAGAAAAGTATCCATAGCAACACGGATCAACAATATCAGATAGGTATCCATAGGAACACAGATCAACAATGTCAGATAGGTATCCATAGCTACACAGATCAGCAATGTCAGATAAGTATCATAGCAACACAGATCAACAATGTCAGATAGGTATCAGACAAACACGGATCAACAATGTCAGATAGGTATCATAGCAACACAGATCAACAATGTCAGATAGGTATCATACAAACACAGATCAACAATGTCAGATACGTACCATAGTAACACAGATCAACAATTTCAGATAGGAATCCATAGCAACACAGATCAACAATGTCAGATAGGTATTCATAGCAACACAAATCAACAATGTCAGATAGGTATCATCCAAACACAGATCAACAATGTCAGATAAGTATCCATAGCAACACGGATCAACAATGTCAGATAGGTATCATACAAACACAGATCAACAATGTCAGATACGTACCATAGTAACACAGATCAACAATTTCAGATAGGTATCCATAGCAACACAGATCAACAATGTCAGATAAGTATCCATAGCAACACGGATCAACAATGTCAGATAGGTATCATAGCAACACAGATCAACAATGTCAGATAGGTATCATAGTAACACAGATCAACAATGTCAGAAAAGTATCCATAGCAACACGGATCAACAATATCAGATAGGTATCCATAGCAACACAGATCAACAATGTCAGATAGGTATCATAGTAAAACAGGTCAACAATGTCAGAAAGGTATCCATAGCAACACGGACCAACAATATCAGATAGGAATCATACAAACACGGATCAAAAATGTCAGATAGGGATCATACAAACACAGATAAAAAATGTCAGATAAGTATCATAGCAATACAGATCAACAATGTCAGAAAGGCATCCATAACAACACAGATCAACATTGTCAGATAGGGATCATACAAACACAGAACAACAATATCAGATAGGTACCATAGCAACACAGAACAACAATATCAGATAGGTACCATAGCAACACAGAACAACCATATCAGATAGGTATCATAGCAAGACGGATCAACAATGTCAGATAGTAATCATACAAACACAGATCACCCCCGTCAGATAGGTATCAATAGCAACACGGATCAAAAATGTCAGTTAAGTATCATAGCAATACAGATCAACAATGCAAGATAAGTATCCATACCAACACGGATCAACACTGTCAGATAGGTATCAAAAAAACACAGATCAACAATGTGAGAAAAGTATCCATAGCAACACGGACCAACAATATCAGATAGGAATCATACAAACACAGATAAACAATGTCAGATAGTAATCATACAAACACAGATCAACAATGACAGATAGGTATCATACAAACACAGATCAACAATGTCAGATAGGTATCCATAACAACACAGATCAACAATGCCAGATAAGTATCCATAGCAACACAGATCAACAATGTCAGATAGGTATCCATAACAACACAGATCAACAATGCCAGATAAGTATCCATTGCAACACAGATCAACAATGTCAGATAGGTTTCTATAGCAACACAGATCAACAATATCAGATAGGTATCATACAAACACAGATCAACAATGTCAGATAAGTATCTATAGCAACACAGGTCAACAATGTCAGATAGGTATCATAGCAACACGGATCAACAATGTCAGATAGTTATCATACAAACACAGATCAACAATGTCAGATAGGTATCATACAAACACGGATCAAAAATGTCAGATAAGTATCATAGCAATACAGATCAACAATGTCAGATAAGTATCCAAGGCAACACAGATCAACAATGTCAGATAGGTATCCATAGCAACACAGATCAACAATGTCAGATAGGTTTCTATAGCAACACAGATCAACAATATCAGATAGGTATCCATAGTAACACAGCTCAACAATGTCAGACAGGTATCCATAGTAACACAGATCAACAATGTCAGATAGGTATCCATGATAACACTTGGAAACAAACGTAGATATATCCATGACAACCCTTGGAAATAAACGTAAATATATCTATGCCAAAACATGGAAACAAACGTAAATATATCCACGACAACACATGGAAATAAACATATATATATCCATGACAACCCTTGGAAATAAACGTAAATATATCCACGACAACACATGGAAATAAACATATATATATCCATGACAACCCTTGGAAATAAACGTAAATATATCCATGACAACCCTTGGAAATAAACGTAAATATATCCATGACAACCCTTGGAAATAAACGTAAATATATCCATGACAGCACATGGAAATAAACGTACATATATCCATGACAACTCATGGAAATAAACGTACATATATCCATGACAACCCTTGGAAATAAACGTAAATATATCTATGCCAAAACATGGAAACAAACGTAAACATGTCCATGACAACACTTTGAAACAAACGTAAATATGTCCCTGACAACACTTGGAAATACACGTATATATATATATCAAGCACAACACATGGAAAAAAACCTAAACGTGTCCATGACAACACTTTGAAACAAACGTAAATATATCCACGACAACACATGGAAACAAACGTAAACATGTCGATGACAACACTTGGAAATACACGTATATATATATATCAAGCACAACACATGGAAAAAAACCTAAACGTGTCCATGACAACACTTTGAAACAAACGTAAATCTATCCATGACAACACATGTAAACAAACGTAAACATGTCCATGACAACACTTTGAAACAAACGTAAATATGTCCATGACAACACTTTGAAACAAACGTAAATACATCCATGACAACACTTTGAAACAAACGTAAATACATCCATGACAACACTTTGAAACAAACGTAAATATATCTATGCCAAAACATGGAAACAAACGTAAATATATCCATGACAACACTTTGAAACAAACGTAAATATGTCCCTGACAACACTTGGAAATACACGTATATATATATATCAAGCACAACACATGGAAAAAAACCTAAACGTGTCCATGACAACACTTTGAAACAAACGTAAATATGTCCATAACAATGTCAGATACGTATCATACAAACACAGATTAACAATGTCAGATAGGTATCACACAAACACAGATCAAAAGTGTCAGATAAGTATCCATAGCAACAAAGATCAACAATGTCAGAGAGGTATCCATAGCAACACGGATAAACAATTGCAGATTGCATTACAGATCAACAATATCAGATAAGTATCATAGCAACACAGATCAACAATGTCAGATAAGTATCCAAGGCAACACAGATCAACAATGTCAGATAGGTACCCATAGCAACACAGATCAACAATGTCAGATAGGTATCTATAGCAACACAGATCAACAATATCAGATAGGTATCCATAGTAACACAGCTCAACAATATCAGATAGGTATCCATAGTAACACAGATCAACAATGTCAGATAGGTATCCATAGTAACACATATGAACAATATCAGATAAGTATCATAGAAACACAGATCAACAATGTCAGATAGGTATCCATAGCAACACGGATAAACAATTGCAGATTGCATTACAGATCAACAATATCGGAAAAAGTATCTATATAGTATATAATATATAGTATCTATAAAAGTATAAGCAAAGTGATCTATAATGTCAAAAAGGTATCAATAACAACAATTGAGATGGCAACAAGGTGAAACAATTATCATAAATTGGCAAGAAATGCAAACAAACAAACATATTTATGATATGCATTTGTTAGCAAATATAAACGCATTTAAAGATATACATGACAACACATGGAAACAAACGTAAATATGTCCATGAAAACAATTGGAAACAAACGTAAACATGTCCATGACAACACATGGAAACAAACGTAAATATATCCATGACAACACATGGAAACAAACGTAAATATATCCATGACAACCCTTGGAAATAAACGTAAATGTATCAATGACAACACATGGAAATGCACGTATATATTAATCAATGACAACACATGGAAATACACGTATATATATATCAATGACAACACTTGGAAATACACGTATATATATATATCAATGACAACACTTGGAAACAAACGTAAACATGTCCATGACAACACATGTAAACAAACGTAAATATATCAATGACAGCACTTGGAAATAAACGTAAATATATCCATGACAACACATGGAAACAAACGTAAATATGTCCCTGACAACACTTGGAAACAAACGTAAATATATCCATGACAACACATGGAAATAAACGTATATATATCCATGACAACACTTGGAAACAAACGTAAATATGTCCATGACAACACATGGAAATACACGTTAATATATCAATGACAACACTTGGAAATACACGTATATATATCCATGACAACACATGTAAGCAAACGTAAATATATCCATGACAACACATGGAAACAAACGTAAATATGTCCATGACAACACTTGGAAACAAACGTAAATATATCCATGACAACACATGTAAACAAACGTAAACATGTCCATGACAACACTTGGAAACAAACGTAAATATATCTATGACAACACATGGAAACAAACGTAAATATGTCCATGACAACACTTGGAAATACACGTATATATATCCATGACAACACATGGAAATAAACGTAAATATGTCCATGACAACACATGGAAACAAACGTAAATATATCCATGACAACAATATCAATACAATATCTTTAACCAGACATCTTCATATCAAGCTCAAGCGGATAGATTAGGAAAACGGACAGAAATACACCACTCTATCTGAAACACAGACTGGATAATGGGACAACCTGATTAGTAGCGACTAGATTAAGGAGACCAGATTTGTACATCAATATCACTTTTGGTTTGTTTGTGTTCTAAGTCCTATAAACAGCTATGGTCATTTAAGGACGTGCCAGGTTTTGGTGGCGGAGGAAAGCCGGATTACCCGGAGAAAAACACCAACCTGCGACCAGTACCTGGCGTCTGCCCCACGTAACCAGCGACCCAGTGGTGGAGGGCTAGTGGTAGCAGAATGTCAGACGCCTTAACAACTTGGCAACCGTGGCCCCCATCAATATCACAATACAACCTACTCACGGAACACTTGGTGAAGATATAGAGGATAAGAGAGAGGACAGCGAAGTAGACCCGGAGTCTCTTCCCTCCAAACCTCTTCGACAGGTATTCCGGCATTGTGTACGTCTGCAAGAGGAATGGAAACAATACGCCAACTACTATATGATCACAAAGCTATTATTTTAATACTTTTAGTTCATTATTCAAAACATAGTTTGGGACATTGTGTTATATGTACACCAGACATTTAACACGTAAGAAGTGTGATTCCTAACCAACAGATAAAATATCGTCTGCAGAGCCCAAAGATTGGGCTTGCGAGTACTGGCGAGATTTAGTACTCGTGGATGTTATTGCTATATATATAATAATAAATTAATAAAATCATATGTCGCTTTTAAAATAGAATTTCAGTTAATGATTGTTTAGTCGAGTGGCGCAGTGGATAGCGCACTCGCCTTTCATCAAGACGGCTGGGGTTCGATTCTCCAATCGGACGTGAACAGGTATGAGGTCACCTGCCCGACCAAGTTGATTTTCGCCAGTTGCTTCAGTTTCCTCCTACACTAAGAATCCCTGTGCGCTAACAACCAGGCCAAAAAGAATGATATATAAAGTAAACTGGTTTCATAATGATTGTAAAATAAATGAAGTGCATATGTATTACATGTTAACAGAAAAGTTTACTTACCCCACATGCTATATACACAGGTATAAATATCCAGCCCAGCAGCTGTAGCAGCAGAATCGCCTACAAACAGATAATATAAAACAAGTAAGTGTTTATCATCTAGATTATATTAACTGTGACTAGTATTATGAGAGAGAGAGAGAGAGAGAGAGAGAGAGAGAGAGAGAGAGAG